TTGAAAATTGGAACTGCGAATTTTGAAAAACATTCATATCTCATGACTATGTTGATAAAAAAATTTGAAAAAGATTATGATAACTTCTTCCGATGGGTACTATAATATATAAAAATTTCAGCCAAATCAAAAATCCAAAAGTTCACGAGTGGATGGAATGCCCCATATGTATATAAATTGATATTTTGACAATTTTGAAGTACATTCTTTTCTTTAAGAAATTTATTAAATTAAGAAATTTAAAAAATATATATTACCTGGTATATATCTTAGGATCAGAGTACAAATTAAGAATAGCAAGACATAGCGAAATATTTGGTGCGTATTCAAACGAGAACTCTTCTCTTATAGTGCGATTATGCTTTTCGTCTTTTGTCAAGCGCCAATAGTCAAACGGCTCGCTGCTGGATGTCGACGGGACACTTTGCGCCGCACGCATATGCAATACCGTTTGATGTTTGCAATCATCGCACACGCGTACCAGCACAGAACTGGGATAACCAGCAACTTGCATGCGATGCTGAGAACACATGGCACAAACAACACGACCACATCGCCGACAGTGATGTCGTCTGTTAAACATCGAAAATATCACAGCCTTGCAGCAACCGCATTCTCTCGCCTGTTAAATAAACAATTATGTAAATTTGAAAGTTATAAAACACAAATAAAATAAGAATCAAACATTTTTTCATTTTGGATATTATACGCACGCACGCACGCACGCACGCACGCACGCACGCACGCACGCACGCACGCACGCACACACACACACACACACATATCCTTTAGCTCTGACATATACAGTGAGGGACAAAAGGATATATATAAAATTTCAGGACGGCTAATTATTTCAGAAAGTGAAACTGGTTTTATGGGAAAATGTTTCAAACAAAAATTGTAGGGTTTAAGAAAATTTATCGACGTCAGCTACAAGAATATGTAACGCAAAATAGGGATTTCCATTTAAGATTTTTATGTTAACCGCGCCTTTCAAGATTAACCAAAGCTCAAATAAATATGACCAGCTAATAAATTTTCTTAAACCCTACAATTTTTGTTAGAAACATTTTTTCATAAAACTATAATACTGAAATAATTAATCGTTTCAGAACTTTTACCCCTTACTGTGTATACAAATTATATATATACATATACATATACATATATATATATATATATATATATATAGATTAAGATATAGCTTTGAATGTTTTCGAGTTACCCTATCATTCGGAATCCATTCTTCCTTAGTGGGCACGTTAACAGGCATAACAAATTCATTTTCCGCCTCAAGATTAGATTGTAAAATATTTTTCGCTTTATTTTCGATACCGTCACGCTGGAGCGATACGCGAAAATCTAACGATTTTTTGGCGTAAAACTTTACTACTTTGTCGAAATTGTTGATGTCTATATCGGGATGTTGTAAATCCTCGTGCAGTGTGTTCAAAATCTTTTGAATATTTTCAAATTTACAATTCATTAATAATTGCTCCAGCATTAATAACGGTTCTTTTATCAAATGGACGTATAATGATCTGTCTTTATCTTCCAACATCTTCAGAATTTCTAGTCCTATTATAGTTTTCCGATACTTCGGTCGCTCTGCAATTTTGCAGTGGTACAATAAATAGTCAGCGACAAACCGTAATGCGCTAGTAGATTCTAACTTTTTGAGCACCCCTTTACATATCTTCACCGATTGACTCAACGGTAATGCTTGAAGAAACTAAAATATTTATTATCAAATTATTGTTAAATATTTTCAAGGATGATTATACACAATTGTAATCTTTATAAACAAATTTTTGTATACCTTCAAAGCTTGCTTGAAACCTTGCTGCTCATTTTTTAATAGACCCGTCAGAAAGTCCTGAATTACAGGGGTTTGCATTTCCAGAGAAAACGCTTGACACTCCAGCCAATCCAAACACAACTCGAATTGATCTGCATCGATCAGAGCTTTAATGATCTCAAACGGATCGATCTTTTCCGTACAATATATGATGTCGTACCACGTGCTGTTTGACCTACTCATGCAGTACGGAATCATTTTATGGAAGATTGTTATTCTGCATAAGATATTACTCATCCGATGTTTGCAGTGCGCTGGCAATTTGTGTCTGTGCTCGTGCTGCAATGCATGACTTAACGCGTGCTCGCATAAAATCATAGGCCATCTGTTAATATTGTGCAGTATCGTTTGCGCCAGTATATATACATCTTTGATTTGGTACAGATACTGCAGCATACTTGCGATAGATAGAGCACCCAGATTGGAGAGCATGTGGCTTAGAATCAAATCCTTGAAGCGCTGCAGCTCCGTATTGTATTTCATGATACTGTCTGCCAAAGCGTTTAATATATCCAAACAATTCTGCCAATTATAATCTTTCTTAAGTTCGAAATAACGCCATAATTTGTGCACAGGTATGATATCGTGAATAGCGACGAGAGTTTGATTGTTGTTAATTAAGGGTTTCAATTTGTCCACCCACGGAGAATTCAAGAGATTCTCGAGACACGCGATACACTTTGTATTATCGTAATTGTTCTCCAAAATAGTCGGATTTTCATTATGCATCTTCTGTATGAGATAAGAAATAAGCCAACAATGTCTTTCCAGATATTGCAATAAACTGGGTCTTAATGCCCGAGTCTGCCAAAATGATGTCTGTATGAGATTTGTGGTTGTGACGCTAGATATATTATGTTTGGAATATTTTAGTATCACTTCGTATGTATAATTGGATGTCATGTATTCCACATCTCCATCTAATAGTTTTTCAAAACCAGATATTGGAAACAAACTTCTGTTAGTATTTGTTACACCAACATCAGTATTTCGTGAAAACGTATTTTGATATTGTCGTACAAAATCGGGCAATCTAATTTTTCGCTTTGGTCCATCTGTAGATTCGTCATCAGATGACACCGATGAGTAATATGCGATATAATCGCGAGCCACTTCATTTAATGTGTCGTTTAACGTCTGCGCCTCATACACCTACAATGTTAAGTTCATTGATCATATCCATCTGTTTATCACGACAAATAACATCAAACAAAAAAAAAAAAACACAAGAACGAGATGATTGTTTTTCATAGTTTTTAAAAAATATAATTTCGTTTATCAAATTATTCTATTACCTCACAATTTTAAGAAATTATTTTAAAATTGCAAAAAAGTTCAAATAATTTAGATGAAATAGGCACCCGAGAATAAATCAAACTTAATGGAGTAAAAGCCTATAGGAATCAACACGGATGTTGATGTGTAATAATTTTTACAATATCCAACCACATGAAAACTGCGCGTCGCATATTTGTCGATCTTGAAACATAGTTCATTACAGGCCGGAATCACTTCTAACAAATAAAATCGCCTAGTAATTTAATCTCTTTGATGCATCTATAAGGATCCCCTCCTTGCAAAAAAGTTATTTCAGTGTATTTGGTATATTATAACTACAATACATATTAGAAGTTTTATTGCAATTAAAAACGTTCTAAAACTTTCAATCCTTAAAAAGAATTTGTGTTATAGTTAAACAAATTTGTGATTATATAGAATCTATTGTGTTAAAATTGCCGTTTACATATGTCACTAAGAATCAATAAAATATTTTTTATGTTAATCAAACTTAAGAGATTTGAATATACAAATCTGATGTTAAAGTTGATGAATTTAAAACGGCGGATGTCAACATTCAAAAAAATATTCAAATTTTTTAAATAATTTATGTGAGTTTTTCTCATACTATTTAAATTGAATTAACTTTTACATCAGATTAACATACAGTTATTTGAAAATACTTGAAGTTTGACTAATTAAAATAATTAAAAAATATTTGATAGATTTTAATCGCCTATATATGTCACTTTGTTTGCAATAAACTCTATATTAATCAAAAATATCTTTTGAATTGATACAAATTCCTCTTACGGGATAAAAATTTTAAATAAGTCCATTAATTTTAATTGTAATAAAATTTCTTCAATACATACATATCATAATTAAAAATGTATTTAAAAAACTCCAAAATAGTCCTCTTTCTATAATATGACAGAACAATTTGGGATAAACAAGATCATATTTAAAAAATTACATAAAACGATCCTTGTTTTTGTGTTTCGAAAAAAGTTATTTTTTGTTAAACAGTGTAATCTACTCTAGCATTAGCTTACACGAATTTCAGGCGTGCCATAAAATTCATTAGCCATGGCGAAGATAATCCTTGGATTCTGTACGAGATCTAAGTCCTGCCATGCCAATTCGTTGAGCTCCTCTACTCGCGTAAAGAATTTAAGATCATTCGCGAGATTACCCAGTAATTTCGAGCGGAGAGCAGCGAGTGTCACAAGGCCTAGATCACCAATCATGTAACCAATCGACGTCAAGGAGATCGCATGCCTCAAACTTTCGAGAGGCGGATCTCTGGACCATACATCTAAACTTGCATGTAGGAACATGACGTTCCAAACGTTCAAGAAGAACGTCAACGTTTCGTCTCCTACAGATAATTCGCCGAGGTCGAGATTGGCAAGATTCGACGTCTTATTTAGAATCATTCGTATATCTGCGTGATCAGAAATGCTTCTCAAATACGAATTATTCAAATGAGATCGTCCTGAACTTATATTGCGTAGAACCTGTAGAAGTTCCACTAATATTTCCGAGACACATTGATTTGGCCCTTTTATTGTGATATTTTTTAAACCCTGTAAAAGTATTTCGTATTACACGGTATCACGTATTGTTAAGTAGTAGTAAAATTACGAATTTAATAAATTCGTACCAAATCTTGATATTGATTCAGTATAATGCATTCGGAATCCTTAATACCAATGCAGTTTATTTTATCATAACAAGAAATATTCGGACAAGCGTTTACAAGGATACTGTATATTAAGTTCACTTGTAAACTAGAAGCGACTTTTTCGAGCTTATCTGGCTCCGTGCTCAAATCGAATATCTGATATCCAAAATAATGATGTAATGGTGTCTTTAATAAATCAAACACTGTCTGTACATTAGTGTCGTCTGAAAACGAAATAATAACAAATGAATACAAGTCTAATTAATTTAACTTTTTGCTGCATAGTATCCCATATACAGTGACCAAAAGTTTCCAATATAATTTTACGATTTTTCTAAATCTATCTTTATAAAACTACATGTTGTGAGTAAAATCTTAATTATATTGACATGTGGATTTTATAATTTAAAATTAAAGTATTAAAAATTTTTATAATATTTGATACAATATTTAATAATTTCCAATACAATAAAATTACTTATTGACCGAGGATTTTTGGCAGCAACTATAGGATACTTATTTTTTCGCAGTTTTTCTATCGTTTTAATGCATTTAACAACAATAATTTTAATAAGGCCGCATAATATACACCACAAATAAATAGAGAACAGCACCATGTACGACCGAGGTTGAATGTTGGTGCCTAATATTTTATTTTATTTTTCAAATTTTAGCTATATTCAGCTATATTTCAGCTATAAACTGCGTACCGATTACTTTCGGACCTTTTAAGAACGCAGTTATAATTTTATGCTAAAATAATATTACATATTAAATTGAATTTAGGATTGATTACACAATCCAATTACAAAATGTATTAAATCCTGGTTGAGGTAATATTTTTTTGCAACAAATTCTTTACAGTGTTTTTTAAGATGCTACAAAAGCATCTTTTATAATTGGATTGTGTAACATATTTGGTATCTTCAGTTTTTAAAACTTATATCACCGACGAGATACTGTTAAATACCGTCAACCCTGAGTAAATATTCGTCCCCGCCAAAGGGCCCGAAAGGTCCAGAGATAATTGCAGAGTGCCAATATTATCGACTATTGACATAAATTTATTTGAATACATTATTAAAAATTATGATTTTTTTTTATTATATAAATGCTTTATAAATAAGTATGATTACTTATAATGCTATAATATCACATATATTGCAGCAAAATTATAATTTTTTTTCTACTGTTACCATCTCTTTAATTAAACAAACACGGATGGTCACTATAAAAATGCAGCTTTAAATAAAATTAACTATTAGCAAATTATAAATATATGTACATGTCTAAAAAACGTTAGTCTAACAATAAATCATAAAATTAATATTATATTATTGGCTAATTGCTTCAATTTTAGCAATTGCTAAACAGCCACGCTACTCTCGTAAGATTGTCGGTCTTTAATAGTATCTCGTCGGTGTATGTATATATGAATAACATAAATATGTAATTATTTTGCATTAATAACAAAATATAAACAAATAGTTAAAATTAGCACTTTTATAAGAAATTCATGCGGATAATATATAATAAAATTGAAAATCTTTATATTAATATATTTGAGGTTACTAATTTCAAATCTGCAATCAAAATTTGAAAATTTAAAATAACAGATCCAATATGGCGGCCAAAATGACTACCAGAAGAATCAATATTTGATACCTCGTGGTCAAATACTGCTTTTAATAAATACTTTACGTGTATATATATATACATATATATGTATAAAATAGATGAATTTAGAAATTATTAGAGCCAAAAAACAATTTTAAGAGTTGAAATCATCTCTTATATGTATGAACAGTTTTTGGTTTTTTTTCATTATATCTCGAAAACTATTCGAGATATCAAAAAAATGTTTCATACAAAGATTTTATAATAAAAACACTTCTATTGTTTCTAATCAATAATACTAAACTAAATTTTAAATAAAGTAAAATGAATAATAAAAATAAAAGTTAAACATTTAAAAAATAAAAACGTAGAATTAAATTTAATTCTAACATTTAAAACATTTAAAAAATAAAAACGTTAAATGAAATTTAATTCGTTTTTATTTTTTAAATGTTTAACTTTTATTTTTATTAATCATTTTACTTTATTTAAAATTTAGTTTAGTATTATTGATTAAAATCAATAGAAGTGTTTTTATTATAATTTTATCTTTGTATGAAACATTTTTTTGATATCTCGAATAGTTTTTAAACTATTTTAAAATAAAACACATTGATCTGAGATATATTAAGAATATTTTTCGTTAACAAAATAGCAAAAATTTCTTCGAATCTAACATAAAAATTTCAAATTACGACTGCAGATATGAAATCAAAAGTCTACAAAATCTTAAAAAATTTCAGTTATATATACAATGTTTTTAAAAATTTGATCATATTGGATCTGTTTTGACCTTTTTAAATTTTGACTTTAAGGTTTTATCGAGCAAGTTCCAGTCAATAGTTAGTCCCTCCACATGACTAATAATTCAACAAAAACATTTTGCATAGTACATATGCGATTGTGTGACGTTTATGTGACAATGTCACACTATCGAGTTGGCGTTGACCGATAAAACCACCTTAAATTTGTAATCAGCAAAAACTATACACATAGTATGCTCATATATTAAAATTCAGCAAAATATGATTTAAAAATCAAATTTGTGTAACAGAAGGTAACTGGGTTAATTAAGATAAATAAACAAATGAATTTACAAATACCTGGGATAATTGTAGCTACAAGCCGCAGATAAGAGTAGATACTGTAAAGATATTTCTCGCTGTTAAAAATATCAGACATTTTTTCTATCATTTTTAATCCTAGAATGTAATTATTGCTGCAAGATTGCGCTTCTACAATCTCCGCTCTCTCGAGATTGTATAATCTGCGATAATTATTCTCAAAGTCACTCCAAATGGCATCGTTTTCTCTCCATTCCTCTACGTATAATGGAATTCCAGCGTCACACAGTATAGTGGTCATAGATGTATTATTTCTGTTTTCGTAAAACAGTTGATAGATCCTTGAAAAGAAATTCGCATGCCCTGTGCTGTCAAACGTTTCGCAGAGTTTTAAATACTTCATCGCTACATCACATAGATTACTCGAGATCTGATATGTTTTGCCCACAGTCAAACTTAGATCCAACATACTAAGAGTTAACATTTCGTTGCTACGTAGAATATTTGTATCTAACATTCGTAAATGTACTTGTTGAGATGCTAGAAACGTTTCAAGTTGGTTGATATATCTAGAGGATTGTATACCTTCCTGTGCAGCAAATTTTATATTCTGCAAAATATTGTAACACATCTAACTTATAACATAGTAAGATTTGTCAAAAAAATAGAATATATTTACCTCTAGCATAGAAGTTTTTGAGCTTTCTTTAGAGGAATCTATTGTATCTATAGGAATGTGTTCACATAGATTTTGTTTAAATGTGTGAAGTGCTTCTGAAAATCGAATCTCGCCATCTAATTGTGTATTTTCCATGTTGAACATCTAAGGAATAAAATATATTTCTAAATAACATTCGAAAAAGCTTAAAATGCTATATCAAGAAGCGACTGTGTTTCTGTTAATAATTCAGATCCGTATCTTGCAAACAGTTTCACATATAGTTAAGTATTTTTAAAGCAAATTGTTTGTATTCTAATTTGAATTATTACGTTTGGATTAAAATTACAATAGTTATCCATTATAGATTAATATAAGAGATACAAAAGTTTTTGAAATTGCACTGGATGATGCCAATTACGATGAGGAGAGCGAGAACGAAATGATTCAACCAGCGGATCTTGCGGATTTAAAACCTCTTGCAGAAGACGAAAGCAAATACAAACCATTACATTCTCACATAAAGTATTATAATGAGCGCAATGCCGAAAATGAAAAACAGTATTCAGATATATTTCTACTGCAACCACACATAAAAGAAATATTCAATTTGGAACAAGAAAATAAACCATTTATTGCTAATTTTAAGCATAATTTGGATAAGGTATATTTTGTTAAAAGAGGAAAAAGACAAATGTTTTCTTTAATAAATCTATGCTTTTAATCCAGTATTTCTCCAAAACTACGAAGCAGACTACCAATGCAATATCAATTAACACAATTAATTATACTGATTCTAATAAGAACAAAAGAAGTGTGCAGAATTATGAAAGATTACCAAATTACAGAAAATACATAGCAAATGTTGCCACAGGTACTAATTAATACGTAAGATAAATTACATCATACGTTATTAATAAATGAAGAGGGAAGAAATAAATATTATTCCATTGCTAAACAAATAGACAAAATTGTTAAAAGTGTTAGAGTAAAACGTAAAGAGATAAATAATTATTATGGCACAACACTGAACGAAGAGATGGATTTTTTCCAAGTAATAAGAGATAGGAATATTATGACTGGCGAGACAGACACAACGGAATATTTTGCGAAAACACAAGAAACATATACACAATATGACTTGTACAAATATGACCAAGAAACTGCAAATAATGATACAAAAACTATTCTGAAACAGTCTTCAATCTCGGAAGAAAAATCTACTCTTGATAATGAGAGTTCTTACGAAGAAGCATACGATTACAAGAGATTCAAAATGGAATACGAACAGCAGATGCAGGATGACATAAAGCAAGAAAAAATACTGAACTATACCGAGAAGGAAGAACCGAAGGATACGGCAAAAGGAGCACTGAAAAGAATAATGGATTTGAAACGACCCAAGAATTGTACGAAAGAAGAGCTGAGCCAAATTGGAATTAAAGCAATAGAATGCCTTTTATACGATTATCAACGTGCAAAAGACATAACAACTGCGAAGATGGTTCTTTCGAGGACGTGGTTGGTTCTCCGAGTTTGGTTATTAATTTATATTTGTTTGGCAATCCCCTGTTGGTGTCAAAGAGGTAATTTCAGCTATTCCTATCAGTTATTTTCTTGAAAAGATCGTTATTGTATACAAATATTATCGTATGGAAATTATATTTCAGGATGGTGTTGCTGTTGTTTTCGCTGTAGATTTTGTTTTCCGCGAAAAAGAATTATACTTATTAAACAATATTATGCAATGAATCCACCTGGCATTTTTGTGAAGGATTTAAAAAAAGAGAAAGACATGAAAGAGCCTATTAAATATGAAGTTACTGAATATGAACATGACGCATACAAGGACCTTGAAACTGCTATAAGAAATATATGAATATTAACGTGTTCGTCTCTGCTACCGCATACAATTTAGGACAAATCTAATTCAGATATCCATTGACTCATATGTTAGAATTTTTTTATAAAAAAGTAAAAACATTTCTCTGGATATACAAGTGAGAAATACGTTTATATTTCCGAATGAATATGTTATTTAATAATCGTTAATTATAATTATTTTAATCATGTCATAATTTTTATTAGTAATTTCATGTGACTTTTTCATGTTAGGTATATTAACTATTAAAACGTTTGTTCAACCTAGATCTAATCTGATGTATTAAAAAAAAGATATAAAAATTATATGATATGCATTGTTTGCATAAAGTAACATTACCTCAACTACTTCTTTCGCTTTCTGAAAATCGCCTTTCCATAAACAGTGCAAAATCAAACTTTCTTTCGAGGCCAGCATTAAATTTATCAAGGACAGTTTGTCTTTCGTTGTCAAATAATCTGTCGCTTCTGTAACGATCTTCGAACGTTTTCTGCGTTTATTGCCGCCCAACAAGCCAGACTCTGAACTACTGTCAGATTTAACTTTGGTTTCATCGGAGGTGCTGTCTCCTTTATAAAAAAATGTGTCTCCCTTGATGCGATGTGAGAAGCTTGGTTTTTGAGAAATTACAGATTCTGATTTATTTACACCCGAGGGATTATCAGACTCATCTTGTGGAGTCCCAACATTTCCGATAAAATATGGTCCCATGTAAAATTTCAATCTCCAACGAGTGTCCATCAGTATTGATGTAAGGGAGGATATATTTTCGCGTAATTGTTGCACTTCTTCGTGTGATCCGAATACTTGTAATTTATCGATTTCTTCTGTTGTAATTAAAGTATTTCTCCATAAGTAATATACCATGTCTCTCACAACATATTTGTTAGCTATGAAGCCTGACTTCTCGTATTCTATCGATTTACGAATATTGCAATCATCATCTTTGGAGCTAGAATTTGTAACGTTGAAATCTTCATAACGCAAAAATAGTAAGGAAAATATATTCCCCATTGTTTCTATCCTTGATGACAGAGGAAACAAACAGGATAAGTATGAAACCATGTCAGTGAAGTATTTAGTAATTTGTTTACATTCCACGTTATAAAATTCACATAAGAAAATAGCTTTTAAAGCGCTTATTATACAACAATATGCTTGATAACTTGCAGATTGATTCAGTGATGTCTCCTTCAGTAAATTTTGAATATCACTGTGATCTTGGTCATGTATATTTGTTGTGAGTTTTAAGACGAAAAGTATATTGTGCTTTTGCAAAAGAGACAAAATTTGCTTTACAGATACTATCTGTTCAATCACGTCACATTGCAAATTTTTCGATTCTTTGGCATCTAATTTTGTATCTATAAAATGTCTTTTTTTCCACTGTATAATATATATCACAATTCTAATATGACTTTTTAAGAGCGTATATAATTTGTTTAAATCATCGTCGTATAGATCAGGGTAACACTTCTCCAAGAAGAAATTAATAGATTCACAAATAACAATACCATTGTCATAGCTTTCGCGAGTATTAATTATTTCCTGTGGACAATCATTTAATGCTTTAAACAATAACACTGGACATAATCTCTTTAATAAATTATATGATAATAATAATTCGACTTCACTGTATCTTCCTTTCATAGTCAAGATATAACATACATCCTGTAACATATAAAAATTTATTCTAATAGTCATTTGTGCATATATCCAAATAATTTAACAAGCAAATAAATAGGTGTGTGTGTGTGTGTGTGTGTGTGTGTGCACGCGCGCGCACGCACACACACATTTAACAGCAGAATTAACTCAATTTTTAGAAAAATTGTCGATCTTTAAACTGCTCAAACTTTATGAAAAAAATTGTACAACAATCTTCCTAGGCTTCTGTTAAAAATATAATTGCAAAAAAAATGTATAATTGTATAATTTTTTTGAAAAGCTGTTTTCTGTACATCAATTAATTTATCTCATTATTGTACACAAAAATATTAAGATATAGTAACAAAAAAAAAACATGAATATTTTATGAGATATATATTATTTATTTTATGTAAAAATATGCCAGAATAAAGTGTAAAACATTTTATAAACTATATTAACTTTTGATAACTTTAATATGCACAATAACAAGAGAAATCAATTTATTATGTAAAAAAATTACATATTCTATTAAAGAAAATAGCGATAGATTTTATATAAAAAATTGATTTTTTCAAAAATTAATT